ATTTGCTTTCTGGTTATTGAGTCATTCTAAGGAGCCCTGATTCCCAGTTCTATTGGTTTATGAAGTGATTGGTTTAAAGGCTAAATTAGTCATTTTTGTATTTTCATATGTTCAGGAATATGTAGAAGTCTAAGCTAAAGTAACAAATGTACAAGGGTTCTTCAAAATGTTTCCGCACTATATATATATATATATATATATATATATATATATATATATATGTGGAAACTTTTTGAAGACCCCTCGTATTTAGCAATGTAATTTTCGTTTAATGCATTTCATTGCCCTTTCAATTTTGTCATAAACCATAGTATAGGAGTGTGAAGCCTCTGTTGGCAGATGCCATTTACTGACTCCTGGGCTTTATTCTTCGGGGACATCATACGCAGATAACTGATAAAATTGTTCAACCTAATTGGCATGTAGACAAGGAGTACGAAAGTGGCAGTTTTCATGCGTCTCACATTTGCAGTTTAAGGAATCTGTCAAAATGCATTAAAGTCCCATAGAGCAGTAGATAATGCACAGTATACCGGTTAGGGGTAAGTTTTTAAAGGTCTGTTTGTTTTTTTTTTTTTGCTTCACAAAACTCTCCTCCTTTTGCAGCCATACTGATGTAAACACTCACAATTCCAGGTCTCCTCTACAATACCTGGAATTTAGGGCCTGTTCCCACCAGCGAGCCAAATACGCTCTATAGGAAGTGCTTTAGAATATATTTGACTGTCCTGTTTTTTATTTTGAACCTTTAGGAAGGAACCCATGTTTTTGGAACTGGAGGGATTGTTAAGCGAGAAATTGCCAAAATATTCAGTGGAATTTTATTTTCATATCCACAAAAGCACCCAAAGTCACTTGACAACTGCAGTCTGTGGATGAACGTTCTCAGGCCCAGTTCCCTTTGCTGAGCGCTTATAAATTTACCTGTGCAACAGTATGCACCTGCCACTGACAGCTGCAGGTCTAACAATTGATAACCAGTTGGCATGGTTCCTGATCAACATGCCAGCCAATCATGGTGGCCACATGCAAGGAGGATGTTTGTTTTGCAGAAAACCGTCTCCAGCAGCTAGAACTGTGCCTCGCGCTCTTTCTCCCTCTACATTTGCTGTGCCCAGAAAAAGCTTATAAAAAATAATTTTAAATTAAAAAGATTAAGAACTTGACATGAAAGAAGTAAACTGTGTAGTGTGAGGGCCAATTTAAATCATAAAGATGAAATAGTTAGACCAGCAAGGCTATACAGAACTAGGAATGTTGTTTTATCCCAGGCTTACAAATGAAAGCCTTGGCTTTGTTATAGGCGCTGTATATGAAACCAAAAGTTGTATTCTGTGAATCTTATAAGTAAAAAGTAAACTGAGCCTTTCAGCACCCAGCATTTGGTCTCAGCGGCTCCCTAGAATCACCTGATAACCTTTTTTTCAGGTCGTTGTTTCTGCCTTTGTTCAAAAAGTCTCCGGCACCAAGTCTTTTATCCGAAGGTACATCCACACTTTGAATAATGCTCACAGATTGCCCCATGATATGTTGCTGTACATATTTTCAAGTCACTGGCTTACCAGTGATCATTCAGGTTGGAAATGTTTGGGGGTAATGTATAAAAGTGGTGTATAAATTATAATAAAGACCATATTTATAAATGTTTACATTGTGTCCATTAAACCACTTTTTAAAATGGAATTGTCAATTTTAAAATCTTTCTTAGTATAATGTTGGTTTTAGAAATGGTTTTTTTTTTTTTTTTTTTTTTATTGGCAAAAGTTTGTGGTTTTTTTTAGTAACCTAAAATGAAATACCATAGTTTTTTATGCTGCTGCTTGAATGAAAACTGGTTACAACCAGGCTTATGCAGGAATTTAAAGTGTAACTTCACTTTTGTTGAGAAAATAACAATATAAGTAATCCATATACGTTGCAAGGATGTTACCAAACATTGTTGCAGAATCCTACACTTTTCTGAAGAAATAGCTGTTTTTTTTTTTTTTTTTCACCATGTCCTTTTCAGACAGAATCTGAATGGCAAGGTCTAGTTCATTATAATCACCTGGTGGACTCTTAAGCCTAGTACACACAATGAAAAAATCGGATGCAAACCATTTTCGGAGTTATCATCCGATAATCTGATCATTAGTATGATTAACTTTCGAGAGCCGATCATGACAGTTCATGTGAAATTATCTGAAGGACAAGTATGAATTTTTTTTTCCGTACGATAAAAGAATGAGCAATTTTTTGTTTGTTCAGTACAGTATTTGAATGTAAAAAAATCAAGGAAGACCATGCATGCTCTGAAACAAAAGAATACATTCCAATACCATACATTACATCATCGCATGAGTTGTATGCTGTCTTACAAGAGTTTTTGTAACACTATTTATTTTCAATATGAGACTAACGTGCAAAAAACATTCTTCCGATATTCTCACTGTGTGTGCAAGGTTCATACGCTCTGATGAGAAAAGCTGTAAGGTCTGCACCCCCTTAGAAGTATTTAACTCTTGTAGAGCATCCCACCTAAATAAAAATTCCTGTTGCAGGGGGTGTCTAAAATCTGACTTATTTTCATGCAGCCTTCTGGAAAATCAATGAGCCAATTACACAAGCAGGAAATTACGTTTCTAGGGGTGTTCTGTACACCAGCGTACAGAACCTCTCCTAGTTGCCATATTGCATTGAGTTACATAGTTAGTCTGGCTGAAAAAAAGTCAAAGTTCTATCCAGTTCAACCATCGAAAAAAGTTATAATCCTATACCCACAGCTAATCCAGAGGAAGGCAAAAAAAAACCCAGCAAAACATGATCCAATTTGCTCCTGCAGGGAAAAAAAATTCTTTCCTGATCCCCTGAGAGGCAATCGGATATTCCCTGGATCAACTTTACCTATAACTGTTAGTATCCAGTTATATTCTGTGTATCTAAGAAAGAATCCAGGCCTTAAGTTTTACAGAAAATCACAGCAAATGTAGATTGAAAAGAAGTGGTAAATTGTATTAACATTTACAAATTTACAAATAAACATTACAGAAACAAAAATCAGTGATCAATATAGCCACCCTTCTTTTCAGTAACAGGCATAAGCCTTCCAATCATGAAGTCTGTCAGTTTCTTGATCTGTTAACGATTAACTTTTTGATTGCCACAGCCACCCACATACTGTTGAGAGAGGTGTACTGTTTCCCTTTACCGTAAATCTCCTGTTTTAAGAAAGGTCCACAAGTTCTCAGTAGGGTCATGTCATTATTCTTTCATCTTTAAGGCCTTTACTGGCTAGCCATGCAGTGGAGTACATCGATGCATGCCATGGAGGATTGTCCTTCTTAAAAATCATGGTTTTCTTGAAAGATACAGACTTTTTCCTGTACCACTGCTTTAAGAAAGTGTCTTCTAAAAAACTAGCAGTAGGTTTGCTAGTTGATTTTGAGTTCACCTTCAACCTGAAAAGGTCCAACTAACTCATCTTTAATAACAGCCCATACCAGTACCCCACCTCCAATTTGTTGGCATCTGAGTTGAAGTGGAGCACTGTGCCCATTACTGATCCAGCCACGGGCCCATCCATCTGGTCTGTCAAGAGTCACTCTCATCTTATCAGTCCATAAAACCTTTGAAAAATCTGTCTTCAGATATTTCTTGGCCCAGTCTTGACGTTTCAACTTATGTGTCTTGTTCAGGGGTGGTTGGGTTCCAGCCTTCCTTACTTTGGCAATGTCTCTGAGTACTGAACACCTTGTACTTCTGGGCACTCCAGGTAGGTTGCAGTTCTGGAATATGACAGTACTGGAGGATAATGGGTTCCTGGTAGCTTCACATTTTATTCTTCTCAAATCTTTTTTTTCTCTCAACACATTTCTTGTGACCCTGTTGACTATTTGCAAGAAAAACCTTTGGTTCTGTGAGCATGCCCCAATATCTTAGCAATTTCAAAAGTGCTGCATCCCTCTGAAAGACTTTACAATTTTTGACTTTTCAGAGTCAGTTAAATCTCTTTTTTGGCCTATTTTGCCTGAGGAAAAGAAGCTTGCACACCTTGATATAGGGTGTTGATCTTCTTAAGCCACACCCTCCCTCAACATGCAAATACACCACCTGATATGCTTACATCCAATATAAGCATTCAAGCTTATACAGCTTAGCATTGAACAATATGCATAAAAATGATGATTTGGTCAAAATACTCCCCTAATTGCACTATGTGTGTGTGTGTTTACATTGCTCAGCATAAATGAATACACCCCAACAGGTTTGTCAGGAAACGTTTAGTTTCCTTTCAGAATCAACATTTTTATGGGACACTATCCTACAAAATACTCCCACAACTACGGGTCATTGACTGCAAACAAGATTTGTTAATTTGCACACACAAACAAAGTATTTTTCTTAACAAATTCATTCAAGACCATGTTGCAAAAATGAATACACCCCAATGAAAGTTTTAAGAGCAAAGCTAAATTTTAGACAAAATCCTACTGAACAAGAATTCAACTACAGGTGAGTCTAATTATTCATGAAACAGGTGTCCAGCAGACAGTTGATTATAAAAGGGTGAAAACCCCTTCCCATTTCATGCTGTCAGCAATGGCACCACATGGAAGAGAAATGTCACAAGGCCTGAGAAAGAGAAAATAATTTCTTTACACAAGAAAGTTGAAGGCTACAAGAAGATCAGGAAAGCTTTACGTATCAGTCAGAATACTGTAGCAAAAGTGATACAATAATTTAACAAAGATGGAACTGCAACCATCTCACAGAGATGTGCAGGTCATCCACGAAAGTTAATACCTTGTCAGGAGTGTCTTCTGATGAAAAGGGTTAAAGAAAATCGCCATGCAAGTTCACTTCAGTTAGCTAAAGAAGTAGAAAGCTAAATTGGGGTGATTGTTTCCCATGACACAATACGGCGTACACTGCAGAGGAATGGCATGCATGGGTTTTGTTTTGTCCATGAAGAAAGTCTCCTAAAGCCCATGCACAAAAAAACCTGCCTAGAATTTGCCAGGGCTCATGCTGAAAAAGAAGACTACTTGGACTTTGTACTCTGGAGTGATGAGACCAAGATAAATGTTTTTGGAACTGATGGCTTAAAACTGTATGGCATTGCAAAGGTGAGGAGTACAATGACAAATGCATGGTGCCTGCAGTGAAACATCATGGTGACAGTGTCCTTCTGTGGGGTTGCATGAGTGCTGCTAGTGTTGGGGAGCTGCATTTCATTGATGGTATCATGAATTTACAGATGAACTGCTCTATATTGAAAAAGAAGATGCTATCATCACTGTGCCCTTGGTCGTCATGCACTTTTCCAACATGCCAATGATCCAAAACACATCTAAGGCCACTGTTGCATTTCTTGGAGAAGAACAGGGTGAAAGTGATTCAGTGGCCAAGTATTTTCCCTGATCTGAACCCAATCGAACACCTATGGGGAATTCTAAAGAGACAAGCTGAGCATCACTTTCCATCCACCATCCAGGCTCTAAAAGAGGTCATTCTTGAAGAATGGAAAAATATAGATGTTGCAATATGTCCCCAACTTGTTCATTCAATGCCTAGAAGACTTGGTGCTGTCCTTACAAATCATAGAGGACATACAAAATACTAGATGTAGTAATTTTTGTTTTGGGGTGTATTCATTTTTGCATCAACTAATTTTGAGTTAAACTGAAGATTTTGTAATCTAATGAGCTAAATGTATGTTCTATAAAACTCAGTTTTGTCAGAATTTTGGAAATTGTTCTTGTTCATTAAGATATTGATTAAAATCTTAGCATAAATGAGTACACCCCTTTCGAAGAGTATTGTGTGTGTGTGTGTGTGTGTGTGTGTGTAGGTATTGTCCACAAGATGGTGTCTGTTGAGGAACTGAGCATGTGCAAGGGCCATTTTGATGGCCATCTCTATACACGTGAAACTCAAAAAATTAGAATATCGTGCAAAAGTTCATTTATTTCAGTAATGCAACTTAAAAGATGAAACTAACATATAAGACTCATTACATGCAAAGCAAGATAGTTCAAGACGTGATTTGTCATATTTGTGATGATTATGGCTTACAGCTCATGAAAACCCCAAATCCACAATCTCAGAAAATTACAATATCGTGAAAAGGTGCAATATTCTTGGCTCAAAGTGTCCCACTCTAATCAGCTAATTAAGCCATAACACCTGCAAAGGGTTCCTGAGCCTTTAAATGGTCTCTCAGTCTGGTTCAGTAGGAATCACAATCATGGGAAAGACTGCTGACCTGACAGTTGTGCAGAAAACCACCACTGACACCCTCCATAAGGAGGGAAAGCCTCAAAAGGTAATTGCAAAAGAAGTTGGATGTTCCCAAAGTGCTGTATCAAAGCACATTAATAGAAAGTTATATGGAAGGGAAAGTGTGGAAGAAAAAGTTGCACAAGCAGCAGGGATGACCGCAGCTTGGAGAGGATTGTCAGGAAAAGGCCATTCAAAAGTGTTGGGGACTTTCACAAGGAGTGGACTGAGGCTGGAGTCAGTGGATCAAGAGCCACCACACACAGCCGGATCCTGGACATGGGCTTCAAATGTCGTATTCCTCTTGTCAAGCCGCTCCTGAACAACAAACAACGTCAGAAGCGTCTTACCTGGGCTAAAGAAAAACAGACCTGGTCTGTTGCTTAGTGGTCCAAAGTCCTCTTTTCTGATGAGAGCAACTTTTGCATCTCATTTGGAAACCAAGGACCCAGAGTATGGAGGAAGAATGGAGAGGCACACACTGCAAGATGCTTGAAGTCCAGTGTGAAGTTTCCACAGTCTGTGTTGATTTGGGGAGCCATGTCATCTGCTGGTGTTGGTCCACTGTGCTTCATTAAGTCCAGGGTCAATGCAGCCGTCTACCAGGAGATTTTGGAGCACTTCATGCTTCCTTCCACAGACTAACTTTATGGGGATGCTGACTTCGTTTTCCAGCAGGACTTGGCACCTGCCCACACTGCCAAAAGCACCAAAACCTGGTTCAATGACCGTGGGATTACTGAGCTTGATTGGCCAGCAAACTCGCCTGACCTGAACCCCATAGAGAATCTATGGGGCATTGCCAAGAGAAAGATGAGAGACATGAGACCGAACAATGCAGATGAGCTGAAGGCCGCTATTGAAGCATCCTGGTCTTCCATAACACCTCAGCAGTGCCACAGGCTGATAGCTTCCATGCTATGCGACGCCACATTGAGGCAGTAATTGCTGCAAAAGGGGCCCAAACCAAGTACTGAGTACATATGCATGCTTATACTTTTCAGAGGTCCGATATTGTTCTATGTACAATCCTTGTTTTATTGATTGCATGTAATATTCTAATTTTCTGAGATTGTGGATTTGGGGTTTTCATGAGCTGTAAGCCATAATCATCACAATTATGACAAATCACGGCTTGAACTATCTTGCTTTGCATGTAATGAGTCTATCTCATATATTAGTTTCACCTTTTAGGTTGCATTACTGAAATAAATGAACTTTTGCACGATATTCTAATTTTTCGTGTTTCACCTGTATATAGAGGTGAAACAAACGATAGGTGCCATTTTACCACCATGTGCAGCTAAGCACAACTTGCAGCTACTATGTGACCTATTTTAATTCTTTATACTCCTGACTAAGTCTGTTTTCTGGAACAAAACATGTAGGGTTTCTTTTTCTTTTTTTGGGAGCACTTTTTAAATGCACATGGTATTCATTCCTCTCCCCCTTTTTTTTTTTTTTTTTTTTTTTTTTTGGAGAACTGCGTTTTACAGTGCATCATTTGCATTCCTCAAGACAGTGAGGCATTTTTGTCTGGATATGGTGATGTATTATCTATGAGAGGCTGACATTTCAGCCCGTGGATGAATGTACCCGTATAACATATCTGCAGCAAGATAGCTTATACTATCTAATTAGTTTTGTCCATGGCGTAACTCCATTTCCTTAATCGAGAATATATATTCAAGTTGATAGGCTTATGATCAAACTATAGTGTCTCTTTCTATGCCGTTACTTCATCTAAAATGGTATGGTATTTGATTTGGTCTGGTGTTATTACCATTTGGATATAAGGTAAATAATTACAATGGTATCCAGTCATATTGTTGTGTGCAGTACATTCTACTCCAGCAGGCATTAATTACAGCTGAGCATACATACATTTTTTTTATATTTTTGAATAAAGGTTTTATATATATATATATATATATATATATATATATATATATTATAGATTCATCAATTGGCCAGGTGGTGCATAGGGAAACACACCCTCGTCCAGTATAGATTTATATATGTATATACACTGCTCAAAAAAATTAAAGGAACACTTTGAAAACACATCAGATCTCAATGGGGAAAAATATGCTGGATATCTATACTGACATGGATTGGGTAATGTGTAAGGAACGTAAGGACGCCCTTTGATGGAAATGAAAATTATCAACCTACAGCGGACTGAATTCAAAGACACCCTGAAAATTAAAGTGAAAAAATGATTCGGCAGCTAGTCCATTTTTCTGAAATTTCATTGCAGCAACTAAAAATGGTCCTCAGTAGTTTGTATGGCCCCCACGTGCTTGTATGCTGTCGGGCATTCTCCTGAGATGACGGATGGTGTCCTGGGGTATTTCCTCCCAGATCTGGTCCAGGGCATCACTGAGCTCCTAGACAGTCTGAGGTGCAACCTGGCGTCTTCGGATGGACCTAAACATGATATCCCAGAGGTGTTCTATTGGATTTAGGTCAGGCAAGCATGGGGGCCATTCAATTGTATCATTTTTTTCATCCTCCAAGAACTGCCTGCATATTCTCACCACATGAGGCTAGGTATTGGGTCCAGGTATTGCCTCATACTACCAGTAGTGATACTGACCCTAACTAAAAGCAGAACAGTGAAAAACAGAAAAGATGAGTAGGGAAAAAAATGTCAGTGGCCTCCACCTGGAAAACCATTCCTGTTTTGGGGGTTGTCTCATTGTTGCCCATCTAGTGCACCTTTTGTTAATTTCATTAACACCAAAGCAGCTGAAACTGATTAACAACCCCCTCTGCTACTTAACTGACCAGATCAATATCCCAGCAGTTTAATTGACTTGATGCTATGCTCTGCTCAAAAAAATTAAAGGAACACTTTTTAATCAGTGTATACAGTTGCCAAAAGTATTGGGACACCCCTCCAAGTCATTCAGGTATTCCAATCACCTCCATAGCCACAGGTGTATATAACAAAGCACCTAAGCATGCAGACTGCTTCTACAAACATTTGTGAAAGAATGGGTCGCTCTCAGGAGCTGAGTAAATTCAAGCGGGGTACGTTGTAATTCTGTGCAATAAGTCCATCCGTGTAACTTCCTTGCTACTAAATATTCCACGGTCAATTGTTAGTGGTATTATAACAAAGTGGAAGCAACTGGGAACAACAGCAACTCAGCCAAAAAGTGGTAGGCCATGTAAAATGACAGAGCGGGGTCAGCACATGCTGAAGCGCACAGTGTGCAGAAGTCACCAACTGTCTGCAAAGTCAATAGCTAAAGATCTCCAAACTTCAGTGATCCTCAGATTAGCACAACGGTGAGCTTCATAGAATGCGTTTCCATGGCTGAGCAGCTGCATCCAAGCCTTACATCACTAAGTGCAAAGCATCAGATACAGTGGTGTAAAGCACGCCACCACTGGACTATAGAGCAGTGGAGACATGTTCTCTGAAGTGACTAATCCTGCTTCTCTGTCTGGCAATCCAATGGACGGGTCTTGGTTTGGCGCTTATTATGGTATGAAATTGTTTTTTAGGGGTTGGGCTTGGGCCCTAAGTTCCAGCAAAAGAAACTCTCTTAAGGCGTCAGCATACCAAGACATTTTGGACAATTTCATGCTCCCAACTTTTTGGGAACAGTTTGGGGATGGCCTCTTCCTGTTCCAACATGACTGCACACCAATGCACAAAGCAAGGTCCATGAAGATATGGATGAGCAAGTTTGGTGTGACGGAACTTTATTGGTCTGCACAGAGTCCTGACCTCAACCTGATAGAACACCTTTGGGATGAATTAGAGCAAAGACTGCGAGCCAGGCCTTCTCATCCAACATCAGTGCCTAACCTTGCAAATGCACTTCTGGAAAAATGGTCAGACGTTCCCATAGACACACTCCTAAACCTTGTGGACAGCCTTCCCAGAAGAGTTGAAGCTGTTATAGCTGCAAAGGGTGGGCCAACTGAATATTGAACCCTATGGTCTAAGACTGGGATGCCATTAAAGTTCATGTGAGTGTAAAGGCAGGAGTCCCAATACTTTTGGCAATATAGCGTACAGTATATAGTCTGGGCACAGTTCACTTTAAAGCTACAACCAGAACCACATAACACTT